GTTAAAAGCTGACAAAATCCCAGAGAACTCAGACACCACAAAAGGGCCAAGGGCAAGACCAAAGAGAGCCAGTCAAGTTGTGCCCTCCTCAAAACAAATCGTGTGGACTGACCAGCATCAACGTGCGCTTGAGGAACTACTAGACTGTTTGCTCCACCCACCAGTGCTGGGGTTCCCAGATTTCACACAGCCGTTCATCGTACACACAGACGCCTCACACAAAGGTCTAGGCGCAGTGTTGTACAAGAGACAAGATGGTAAGCTGCGAGTTATTGCTTATGGCTCCCGTACTCTAACAGCAGCTGAAAAAAAACTACCACTTCCATGCAGGAAAACTAGAATTTTTAGCATTGAAGTGTTCTATCACTGACAAATTGAGAGACTATTTGTACTATGCCCCAACATTTACTGTCTACAGCGATAACAACCCGCTAACGTACATTCTGTCAACAGCCAAACTGAATGCCACCACATCAAGATGGGTTGCTGAGCTCGCTGATTTTCACTTCACCATTATGGTAAATGGCCTGTATTTATATAGCGCTTTACTAGTCCCTAAGGACCCCAAAGCGCTTTACATATCCAGTCATCCACCCATTCACGCACACATTCACACACTGGTGATGGTAAGCTACATTGTAGCCACAGCCACCCTGGGGCGCACTGACAGAGGCGAGGCTGCCGGACACTGGCACCACCGGGCCCTCTGACCACCACCAGTAGGCAACGGGTGAAGTGTCTTGCCCAAGGACACAACGACCGAGACTGTCCAAGCTGGGGCTCGAACCGGCAACCTTCCGATTACAAGGCGAACTCCCAACTCTTGAGCCACGATCGCCCCATTAAGTACAAACCAGGGAAGGAAAACAGTGATGCAGATGCTTTATCAAGAATGCCACTTGATGTAGAAACCTTAATGAGAGACTGCTCTGAGGAAGTGCCACCGGACACTATTGCAGCTGCTATCCAGGCCATTGAGGTACAGAAAGACACACCTGCCGCATGGACACTCTCAGCTGCAGCAATGTCAGTCACAGCAGAAGGTGAGCCAGCAGAAGCAACATTCACACCCATTCCAAAAGAACAGCTTAATGAAGCGCAAAAGTCTGATCCTGTTATAAGCCCTGTATTACAGTGTAAACAGACAGATTCAAAACCACTGCCCAAAGAGCTAAGAACATTTGACCCTAAGACAAAATGCTTGTTCAGAGAGTGGGGCAAGTTAAGACTAGATAACAATGGCACCTTGTACAGACTCACTTCTGCCCGGAAACAGCTAGTCCTACCAGATCAGTTCAAAAAGACTGTACTTGAAGAGCTGCACAATAATATGGGCCATCAAGGTGTTGATCGCACAGTGTCTTTGATATGTGAACGCTTCTTTTGGCCACACATGCAGGCAGACATCGAGCATAAAAGAAACCCAAAAAATGCCAAGAAGCTGTTGTATTATTAACTGCAATAGCTGGTCGCATGACAGCCATGGAAAGCCGACGGGTAAAGAGATCGTTTTTTTTTTTATCGGATTACGTAGTTGAAGAGAAATTTTTTAAGCCATGTTTCCGAAGTAAGAGCCGACGGATGGTCTGGATATACCAAATATAACGTCCCAGAACACTCCAGCTCACATGTTAGTCTGCTCCAAGCATTCCCACAAAGGTCAGAGTTTTGTAGTAGTTAATACGTCATTTTTCTTAACATAATTGGTGATATAGGTTACAAGTCTGGCGCTGAACAGAAATGGTCGCGCTATGCTCCTTTATTTATTGTGCATAAATAGTAAATTGTCCTGACAGAATATTGCGTTTCGCTTCTGTTATTGCCATGGTACAATGACAAAAACATATACTTTTATTCACAGGATAAAACAGTTGTTTTGTATCACTAATTTCCCAGTGCGATTACAGCATACAATATTATTGTCATTGCTAGATTTCTGTAATGCTACCAGAAATTATTTCCACTACTAATTAATTACCGTTGAGCTCAAAGGTCCTATTAATAAACGGTTAACGAATGTGTATTTATGACAACGATTTGTGAGACTGGTAAACTTACCTTTGTTCGTACGATGGTCTTTCGTTCTACACGGTGCATTTCAAGGTCCTGCACCCATCCGTCGGTAAACTGTACCTGGGCTTGTTGCAGTGACCTGAAGTTACTAAACTTCATGAGTGTATGCACTCACTCCAAGAACCGTATAATTATAAATATGAGCGTGGTGAAAGTTGGGCAGCACGCTAACGTCTTTTGTCCCTCTGTGTGCTCGTAAGGGTCTGACCCTTTCACTCCTTTGATTTTTCCTCGTATCTTTTCTTTGTCTTTTCGTCGAGTCTGTCTTTGTACGGACCAGCATTGTTCTCCTTTTGTTTTGTACATTCCTTTTTTGTGCGGCAAAGAAAAAACAAGAAGGTATTGGAACCGGAGAATGAACGTTTTGCGGTGCTGCAAACGCTTGCATTTAATGCGGTACTTGGATTGTTTTGCCACGAGTTCCCGGCATGCAATGCGCGAAAATCACGTGATTCCTAAATAGGGGGGAGGGTGCATCCGGCCTCCTCGGCTGTAATTGGTCCAGCCCAGAGTCGATCATGACCAATTGGCCAATCCAACACCTTTCATTATATATACCCTTCCTAAAAAAAAAATTAAAAAAAATCCATCGGCCCATAAAAACAAAAAATCGCCAGCGGCCCACCTGGCAAATGCCCGGTATGCCCGATGGCCAGTCCAGCTATGGCTGGTGTGTATAGACTTTCTCCATCTTGAAAAATGCAAAGGCGGTTATGAATATATTCTAGTGATAACTGACCACTTCACACGTTTTGCCCAAGCCTATGTAACCCTGGTTAACATAGCTAACAACAAATAAAAGCCTGTTAGTAAAAACAGTCATAAGAAATATATTACAGGTGATAAATAGTCAATAAATAGATCATAATGGTTAGAAAATTCATTAAAAACATCAGCAATGATATAATTCATGGTATAGGATTTCAATTGTGTTTAAAAACATGTTAAAAGGGTACAGAACTTGCTAATTCATGGTGTTTTATGTTAATTCAGGTAAAATGGCTAAAATATGTGTTGAGACTCTTATTGTGAAAGGGCACGCTGCAGCGTGACTCCTGTGATTAGCCACACCCAATCGGGTTGTTCCTTCTTTTTGATGCTCGAGAGGGAGAAATGCAGACAGTCCTTGCAGAGCTGCTGCTTAAATGAGTGAAAAAATTGTAAAAGTAAGCCAAAAATCTACTTAAAGCCATTTTTGTACTCTGGAGAATGTATTTTGGTTTTTCCGACCTGTCCTTGCCTTGGTGACGTTGTGAACATAACCGAACGGGACTTGGTGAGTTCAGAAATTGTCTTTTATTTCATGCAAGAAATTTTTGTTGTATTATATTGCTCATTTCATGCAAATGGAGAGCCAAGGTAGCAGATTTATGTTGTTTTATGTTAAAAACGGTGGATTCGTGCTTAAACGACACACAGGCTGCAGTTCAAAGGCCTTTGACGGTGTTTCAGCGCGCCATATTGGCATCACCTCATTTACGGCTAAATAAGCTGGAAAAAACGGACTTTTACTGTTATTTAAGGGCTACCCGTGTGTTATTTTCGAATGTTTATGCACTTTATTTTGTTGTTATGGTAGGCCATTAAGGTTTGGATCGGGAAATGCCGAGCTAGAATCGGAGTTTGATCCGCTGAGCGAGAAACAAGATGGCGAGCCACCCACGGACCCATTGAACTGTACCGAGCAGGAAAAAGGGAAACGCCCCCTGCTGGACGTTGAGCTCTTTCGCTGAAAAAAACTGGTAGGATTAATCCATACACCTCTGCAAAAGAACAGCGGACTTTTCAAAGCACTGGATAATCATTCGGAGTAATTCCAGGACTAATAGTTAAAGGACACAAAGACAACTTTCTTTTGTTTATTTGTTTGTTTAAGGGATTTATTCAGCCTTTTGCTGAATTGTTTTCAGTTTTACATTTATTTATTTATTTTTGTAATTTATTTTGGTCAACCTTACATTTAATGCTGTAATGGTGTTAATGGAAATGTAAATAATTTTGTTGGGTTAAAACAAAATAAGAACTGGTTGAGAATTTAAAGGTGAACCTAGACCAAGATTAAATTAAATCTTGGGCCTAAAGAACTGAACTTGATTTAAAATAACACAGTGTTAATGCAAATAGATCAAAGGATAAACTTGAACTTAGAACTTGAAATAAATAAAACAATAACCTAGGTTGAGAATAACATCCTTCTAAAGCCAAATAAAAGGTTTTGAGATAAATAGGATGAACTGACAGAACATACTGAACTAAGAAGGGGAAAGAAAACATCTTGTTTCCTTAAATGTGTGATGTTGAATGTTTTATGTAATGTGTCTATAACTGTCTATTCTCTGTCTTTACAAAATAATAAGCCGGCAATTTAAACGTATTTACTGGTCTGTGGTCTTTATTACATGCTACGCTCATTACTGCTCTAGTAGTCGAACCTAACTGGTCCTAGTATACTGTAACGACTCCAGAAGTGTTACACCTATGCCACCACCTCAAAGTCAGGCAAAACTGCTGCAAACCTGATATTCAATGACTATGCCCTAAAGTTTGGCTTCCCCTGTCGCATTCACCATGACCAAGAAGGTGAATTTGAAAATCAGCTATTCAGTCAGCTCAAAAAGCTTTGTGGCATGGCCGGTTCTAGGACAACACCCTATCACCCAATGGGGAACGGTTAAGTTGAACGTATGAACAGGACATTGTTGCAAATGCTTAGAATGCTAACTGAAACACAAAAGTCAAACTGGAAGGAATCTATCAACAAGTTAATGTATGCATATAATTGCACACGTTGCGAAGTCACTGGCTACTCCCCATTTTACCTACTGTTTGGACGGTCACCCAGGCTACCAGTAGATATGCTCTTTGGACTGTACTCAGAAACAGATTTTAGTGACCACAGAGACTATGTTGAAAAATGGAGAAAGGGCATGGAACAAGCATACTCTATAGCAAATGAGAATGCAAAGAAAGCTGCTGAAAAGGGCAAAAGACACTACGACACAAAAGTAAGGAGTTCTGTGTTACAACCTGGCGAGAGAGTTCTGGTCAAAAACCTGACACCTAGAGGAGGCCCAGGGAAACTGAGAGACTATTGGGAGGACACTGTTCACACAGTAGTCAGAAAAATGGGGCCTGACCTCCCCATCTTTGAGGTAAGACCGGAGAGAGGCAGAGGGCACTCTAGAGTGCTTCACAGAAACTTGCTTATGTCATGTGACCACTTACCTTTTGAAAAAGTGCCTGAAAAAGATAATCGTACAAGACATGAACAGAAAAAGACTGATAAACCTGTCGCTGTTGTGCCAGACTCTGATGATGAGGGCAGTGTTGATGAATACCGCTGTCATTACGCACCACCTCAACCTGTGTCCCAGCCATCAGAACAAGAACTTCTCACAGCAACGTCTCAGCCCGCAGCTTCAGCCCCTACTCTTGCACCAACACCAACACAGCGAGAGAGACACCTGCCAAGACGGATGACGTATGACCAACTGGGCACCCCATCTTGCTACAGTGTTCAGCCAGCACTGCAACTGCTTCCTGTGTACCTGGGCCTGGTTCCATGGTTTCCAGCTGTGCAGTCATACTGCCCTGTATATGTAAGTTGACACTTTTTCACTGATGACTTGAGAACTGTACTTACAGACTGTCATCAAGAAAAAGACATGAACTTTTCCCCATCTGTGGATTATAACCATAGACAATAGACTTTGTGAAGACTCACATATGGACTGGTTATAGACTTTGTCTTCAATCACCAGTGATGGACTGTGGTGAAACAGATCTTAAACCTACAGAATTGAGGACATTGGTTCACCCTACTGTTGATGTCCTGACTACAAGAGAATATAGACTGAAAAGCATCTTGTTGGTATAATGTCGGGACGACATTTTTTGAGTGGGGGAGAGTGTGACAGGTTGAAGGACTACTGCGTATAAAACTGTTCAGTTAATACTAATTCATATCAGTTGATATAAGGATGAAAATAATGTAAATATGGTAAGAAAATGGTTAAGAGTTTATTATTTTTCATGTTATATTAATGGCTTTCATGTTACTTAAGAGAACTACAATCTATACATCAGTGATTGGCTAAGCCTTTTCTGGGATTGATTAGTAGTGTCTCTATTCCCCACTAGGGGGCTTTCGCGCGTTCTCCTCACTGCAATAAACTACTGCATGAGAGACGCAAGTCATAATCACTCTCATGATTCTTTTCAGAATCAGAATCAGAATACTTTATTGATCCCTGGGGGAAATTATTTTTTGTTACAGTGCTCCATTTTAAACCAACATTAAGACAAGACAGACAATACGCTAACTAAGAATAGTACAATATATACATATACATACATACATACATACATACATAAGTCACTTATAAATAAATAGTTGGAAAAGAAACATGTGTAGTTGTAGCAGCAAACAGTGTGTTAAGTGGATGCGTTGTACAGGGAGATGGCCACAGGCAGGAAAGATTTCCTGTGTCGTTCAGTGGTGCTTTTCGGTAATCTTAGTCTCTCACTGAACGAGCTCCTGTGACTGACCAGCATGTCATGGAGTGGATGGGAGGTGTTATCCAACATTGTCTTTATCTTGGACAGCATCCGCCTCTCCGACACCACCTTGAGGGAGTCCAGCTCCATCCCCACAACATTGCTGGCCTTACGGATTAGTTTATTAAGTCTGTTGGCATCTGCGACCCTCAGCCTGCTCCCCCAGCATTTTCCCCCTGTTTTCAGGTAAAAAGTGTTTAAAAGTTGATATATTTCCAACGTGTACACTGTTAACATATTTAAGAGGTAATCCTTCATTGTTTTGTAAGCGTTAGAAGCATTATATTACAGTTTTGTGCACATATACGTGGCGGTTTTGAGCTGTGTTTTGTACTGTGTAATGGCCATTAAGATAACTGCAGGAGCTAAAAATGCTGCGATTGTCAGCCATTTTGTCAGGAAACCTGCTCAAGTATATGTATAGTAAGCACTTCAGTATTTCGGTTTATTATTTAGTGTTTTTCTTCCACCTTGTGACATTTAGCAGTACAGAATGTGAAACATTTCTGCTCATTTTTGCTGCAATAAACTACTCCATGAGAGACGCAAGTCATAATCACTCTCGTGATTCTTTTCCCCCTGTTTTCAGGGATGTAACAATTCTGATGGTTTTCTACAGCAGGAAATGTCACTAAAAATGTCCATGTGTCAGTTCTCTGTTCCTCTGCTGCTTTCCAATCAAGACACGAAACAGTGCACACTCATGCTGTGGGCCATGAGAGATATTGTTAAAAAGTACAGACCTCAGTCTCTGTCAGAATCCAAGGGCTTCATTGAAGACAGAATCGTTCTCTCTGAACTTCCAATGATCTCTTTTGTCAGACTGGGTGAGTGCTCCTTGTCCAAGTCAGAGATTCTCAATAAACTTCTCAGCAATTCTCAGCAGTACCATGACACCTTTGTTCATCGCAACATGGAGTGTGGTGACAGTCCAAGAAGAATATCCAACGGACTGACTGAAATTACTTGGTATCTTCCTGGTGGAAACACAAACATTGATATTTTCAGTCAGCCAGTGGCTGTAGCTAACCTTCGTGGGGACATTGCTTCATTTGAAACTCAATACTCCTTTTTGTGCCAGACATCTGCAGCAGTTTTTGTGTTCTTTGACCATTTGGACTCTGAGTGCAGTCTACTTACTAACCAACACCACAAGGCACAGATCTTCTTGGTAGGTAACTATGAGAGCCAGATCTTCAGTTTAGATACTTTAGAAACAGTAGCAACAATGTTGGGCTTGACTAACAACAACATCATTATTAAGACAAAACAAAAAAATGCTGCCAATTTTGTCAAAGGCTTGAGGAAAACAATCAGTGATGTAGTTGAGAACTCACAGATAAAGATGCAAACAGAGCAGATGGCAGAAATTGCCCATGAACTGGGAATCCTGGTTGATGAAGACTCTCCAGAGTGCCAGATATCAAGGAAAAATGCAGAAGCCATCACTGCTGAAATTCAAGATATCCATATATTCAAAGAAGATCAGCTTCAACAGCAAGGTGAAATATGGAAAGAACTGACCTGCTTAGAGAAGGAAGAATTTCGGCTTAAAAAAGTTGGCTCCAAAAATATAGAAGATTACAAAAGTGAACTTCAGCTGCAGAAAGAAAAACTGAGGAAAAGGCAGAACTCTTATGACATGTCCACAGCTATGACATGTTTCATCAATGCAATATCAAGCCCAGGAACAGAGAGGTTTTATTTCTTGAAATGGATGCGAATGAACCTGGATAACCTGTCTTGTATAAAACTGTCGGAACTTCGGGAGAAATATAAAGAAAAATGTAAGAACTCTGAGAACAAAGAGGAGATCAAGGCGATTGACAGACAAATTTCCAACAGCTCACTGGGGACTGAACACTTCTTCCGTGAAATGGGTCAGATCTATGAAACCTCACTGTCCCTTTCACAAACAGATCCAGCACGTCAACAGTTGCAGCATCTGCCCAAACTGTGTGCAGAGTTGTTGCTTGATGGATTTCCTCTTGAGCTTGTAGATGGAGATGCATCCAACATCCCTCTCAGATGGGTGAGTGATGTTCTCTCTCAGCTCAGTGACTTGGTGTCTCCAAACAGAAAGATCCTGGTAGTCACAGTTCTTGGAGTTCAAAGCACAGGAAAGTCCACTCTCCTTAACACCATGTTTGGAGTGCAGCTTGCAGTCAGCAGTGGTCGATGTACTCGAGGTGCCTTTATGCTGCTCATCAAAATCAGTGAAGACATGAAAAAGGTCCTAAACTGTGACTTCATGCTGATCATTGACACTGAGGGCTTAAAGTCACCAGAACTTGCACAACTGAACAACAGCTATGAGCACGACAATGAGCTTGCTACACTTGTTGTGGGGCTGAGTGATGTCACCATTGTTAATATTGCAATGGAGAATTCAACTGAAATGAAGGACATCCTACAAATAGTTGTGCATGCTTTTCTCAGGATGAAGGAGGTGGGCAAAAAGCCTAAATGTGTGTTTGTTCACCAGAATGTGTCCGATGTTTCAGCCCATGAGAAGAACTCACAAGACAGGAAACTGCTCCTGGAACAGTTAAATGAGATGACCCAGGCAGCAGCCAAAATGGAAAAGATTTTCAACATTCAAGATTACATAATGGCTGCACAAAAACTGGCTGACAGCATCATTGATGCTTTCACTCAATTTGTGAGAGAAAAAGTGAGAAGGAAAAAGATGTACTGTGACACGTAGGAGATCCTACACATCACTGATGAGAACCTTGAGAAAAATCAAGACGTCAAGGCATACCGTGAGTTTGAAGTTCTTCTTAAAAAGCATGTCTGTGGAATTGCTGCCAGAGAGTTTACAAAAGCGCATAAAGAAAATGATCCCTACATATGTTTGATTAAAAACAAGGACAGGTTTTGTGATGACTTCAAACATGTGGTTAATAAAGAAGACCAATGTCAAAAGAAAGCAGAAGAATTCACCAACCAGTGCTTGAAGCCTGCTGTTGAAGACTTTATCAATCAGTCCCTGGGTCCTAAAATCATTGATGAAATGCAGACATGTGAGCAGTTCAGCAGATGGAAAAAGATCTGAGAAAAGAGTTTCAAACATTGAACTTTGAAATGAAACTACAGCATCTCCATGTGCAGCCTGAAAATGAGTTTTTCAACAAACTGGTTGGTTGTGGCAAACAGTGTCCATTCTGCAAAGTTCCATGTGATGGAGGAGGAAAAGTCCTTACTAAGCACTCTGCTTCAGTGCATAGGCCAGAGGGTCTGGGTAAATACACTTGGCATGTAACAAAGAAACTTGTCACTGACATATGCTCTTCTCTCATGATCAGTAACGGCCGTTTTAGATGCAGTGCTACAAAAAGCACCCTTACAAGTGTTACAAAGAAATTTATCCAGACTGGAAAATCCCTCCAGATTCAGACTACTGGAAATATGTAATGGCAAAGTAAAACAAAGACTTTGCCAGAGAATATAAGGCAGAACCTGCTGATATTCCTGAAACTTGGAATGTCATCACAAAAGAGCAGGCAGAAAAAAGCCTCAAAAAAACATCAAGTAACAACTTATATTCCTCCTCATCTAGAACACATTCCAGATATCATGTCATATCATTTAGTTTCAGTTTTTGTCATATAGAAGAAAAACTAATATTTCATAGACAAACTTAAATACATTTCTCATGCACTTTAATGACTATCATTTAAAATAAGCTTTAAAAGTGCAGTTATTCAGGTTTATTTTATGTGTGTTTGCTTTTACTCAAGAAGTTTTTAGTTACTGATTTAAGTAATTATAATAAAATTGAAGAAAATATATAAGGCTATTCACAAGCTTATTGACAGATGTACATGAGCTTATTTTTGCTTTGTCAGATAATAATTATGTTTGTTATAGATGACTGATTTATTTGTTATTTGTTATTTGTTTTATTAGGACAGTTAATTAAAAAGAAGTCCATACAAATTGTCTGTTGCTGAGGGATCTGATGGCAAGTATTTACATCTTTAGCATTTTAAACAATCATATATCGGTTATAAGTATGTGACTTTCTTACTCAGTATTTAGAATTTACTTTTCTTTCACTTGCATATGTGATCATATTTTCCCTTTTTAAATTTTTTACAGGATCATTTTATATCTGTATGGTCCACAGAGTTACATTTTCTCTTATGTTAAATCACTGAATTGTAACCTTGGTTACCTCAAGGTACCTTTTTATAATTTTCCCATAGATTTTGCCATTTTCATTTTGTAATTTATTTATAAATTCCATGCATTCTGCTGGCCCATACTGCAAATAAAATCCTCTTCTGTGCTCATGTACTGAATTTTTGGCTAAATAATCAGCTCCTTTATTGCCTTCAAATCCTGCATGTGATGGAACCCATATATTCTGATTTCTTTCTCTTGCTTGCATAAGTTAACTTTGGAATGCACATCAGCCATGATGTGCAATTAACCAGCAGACTGGCCACACATTGAAGTTCACAACTGCTCACATATGTTTTGAAATTCCTTGCTGATCCCACATATTTCCAGTGTTGGCTAAACAGGGTTTAAATTTGAATAATTTCATTCTGTCCTTTTATTTGTATTAAGTACTTCAGTTTAAGTTTATTTATTTATTTTATTTTTTTTTCTTTTCTTTTTTCTTTTCTTTTCTTTTTTTTTTGCAATTTCACCCATATCTAGTAAAAGGGACTGGCCCTTACAAAATTTTTAATTGGGGTGATAAAAAATGCTACTTGTAGACCTTTTGACTGAAAGCTCTACAAGCTTCTTGAAGGGGCAGCTGATCCATATGCCATACAACCATTGTGAATGATAGATTTTATCTTTATGTTGGCTCTATATATCATTAACAATAACTCTGTATTGGTACCCCCATTCAGATCCTTCCAATAGTAGGGTGTGTGATTTCCTTGGAAATGAAAGTGAAAGTACACCCTAACCTTACTGAGATAAAACAATGACAATTTGCAGTAGTTTTGGTTTTGTTTTCATGCAAGCTTATTAATCATGCACTGTTCCTAGGGAAAAAAAGTTAAAGTAACTATCCTCAGAGATGATTGCTCCAAATGCACAGAAAAAACATAACATATGTTAGCTTAATTGGTTAAAATTCATTTACCACTTTAGGGAGTAGTTCATGCAAGACCCAACAAGTCAAAATTAATGGTCAAAGCCATCATCATGAGATTCAAAGCCAGATTTAAAAATGGTATGCACCAGCGCAAAAACCCAGCTCAGAAATGAATGCAGCCAATGAAAGAGTGTGAGGCGGGGAGTTTTGTCTTAACAAAAATAATAAAGTGTAAACGCAGGTTTTACATGTGTTTCTCTCTGAAAACAGCAAGGCAGTTCAGATAAATTAACAAAAGCTGGAGAAGAAAATCAATATGGTTTTATATAAAGGTCAATGTGTCTGTTAGTTGTTGGTGTGATGTGAAAGATAATGAGGAGACTTATCCAGAGTAGAGCTGCATTATCAGAAACTATTACACCATATAAACCTGTGTGTAACAGCTGACCTGTATGATGTATAGACAAACATGAAAAATTATTTACCATCTACTCCCAAGCCATCTCTGTCTAAATACAAATACTGTTACAGTGCCATCATTGCTCTGTTTTTTTCTCCAGGCTATTTGAGGCTGCAGATACTTCTTAAAGTCTGACACACTAATAAGGCCAAATTTTGACAGACAGAAGTTTTAAAAAGAAACTATGTGAACGTCACTCTGCATGCATGTAATTTTATGTACCGATCTCCATGTGTAAATGCAAACAGCAACTCATAAATGTTTTTTCTTCTTTCCCCCCATTCATCCATTTTTGGATCCAAACTTTGAGTTGCCAGGGTGCTGGAGCCTAACCCATTTGTCATAGAGTGACACAGGGATAGATAAGAATATAGCCATAAAGATTCTCTCTCTCAGGCTTTGGACAAATCCCCAGTCTATGCAATAAGAAACAGGCAAAGAAAAAGAAAGAGATTTCACTTAAACCACACCCACATCATTCCAACACCAGGGTGTGTGATTTCCCAGGAAATGAAAGTTAGCATGAGTACATCCAGCAGAATAAAAGGCGAGGGCTGAATTTGCTAAGGGATAATAGTTAGGCTGCATTCCTGCCCAGTGCTACTGGTGATGTTTGACAGGGATCAACTCCAAGACGAAAGAACTGCACTTTTCTGATTTTTGGACATGAAAATTTTTCTGTCAAAGGTAAGTCACTATTCTTAAAATTCTTCATTTATCTTCTTGTACTCCGAAATTATCAAAACCATTAAAGAAAGAAAAGAAGAGTTCAGCTGAGGTCTGCTCAATTTCAATAAAATACTGGTATTGCTACTATATTAATAATTAATACTCTCCTCCCAAAGTTTTGCTCTGTGAAAAGGAAAGTCCTAAAAAAATACCCGTGAAATAAGAAATAAGAAATAAGTTTGTCAGAATGCTTTAACTGATAGGACTCAAAGAACAGAAATGTCTCAGAATAGTCTGTTTGCACAGGTGGCTGGTTGACACCCGGCTCTATAATACCTTTAGAGTTACTGGTGAGTTACTTCTCAGGTGAACTGAGTTGCTCTTATCTTTGTGTGTGTGTGTGTGTGTGTGTGTGTGTGTGTGTGTGTGTGTGTGTGTGTGTGTGTGTGTGTGTGTGTGTGTGTGTGTGTGTGTGTGTGTACAGTGGTCCCTCGTTATAACGCGGTTCACCTTTCGCAGCCTCGCTGTTTTTTTGTTTTTGTTCTTTTTTATTTATTTATTTATTTTTTTGGGGGGGGGGGGGGGGTAGAGCGCATTGTGTTCTGCGTCCTGATTGGCTGTCAATCAATCGTGCCGTGCCTCCTGTACAGTACAGATTGCGTTCAGCTTGTCAAATTTACGTAAATCTTCGATCGCTAGCAGTCTGACTCTGAAGTGCTGCACTGCATGTTTGTAAGTTCTCTCCCCAACAAACACAACAACAACGTTTTGCACCATCAAAGGCACCAGCAATAGCACCCAAAAGGCAGAGGAAGATGCTAACCATCACACAAAAAGTTGGACTTCTGGTAGAAGTTACCGTATTTTTCGGCACCGTCAAAGGCACCTGCGGGTCCCTTTTATTTCATTCTAAAACATCGGCGAGTGCCTTAAAACATCTATAATAATTGTAAAAAAATAAAGTTAGCTACTTCATGAATTTCACCTATCGCAGGTTATTTTTACAATGTAACTCCCCCAATACATGAGGGATCACTGTACACACAAAAACATATGGCATTAACAAAATAACAAACTGCACAGTAAGTAGAGCACAATTTCCTTTGCTTGCCATTGTGAACTGATAAAGAGTATGCTATAATACTACCAACTTATGCCTAAACAAACTACAAAATAGTTAATGATGTCAAGGACAAGGTCATAGTAAGCTAAGTCATGGTTAATTAACATGTTTCCTGTCTAAACTCAGTCAGAATAGAACAGAATAAGAATGATATCTATATTGCCACACGTGGTACATTAGTAAACACCTGAGAACCTTAAATACAGGAAATAATACACTGTAGATCACGGGTGTCAAATGAGCCGCGGGCCACTGCTGGCATTGTCATCTCATTGGAGGGCCACTTTAGTGTTCAAGTAGAAACAAACAAACAAGAACACCCTCACTAATATTTCCTAAAATGTAGTGTTTTGTTTTTTTGTTTGTTTTATTTAAAATATCGGATAATAAGAC